TTGTTTGTCATGTGGGAGAGACAGTGGATGGCTGGATAAGGAGACATGAGGAACCGTCTATCTCAGACAGCTGGACTCTGAACCCCTTCTACTTTCACAACACTATGCTTTCCAACTGCTTTTTTAAAAAATCAGTCATCTAATTTAATCCCACAAAAAGTGTTAGAATACCCACTTTGCAGAAGAGATGCCATGACTGGCCCAAGGTCACATAAACCCAAGTCTCCCAACTCTCAATTCCCTTTCCCTCTGTGAACAAATCAGGAGATGACAGAAGTTAAGTCAGGTCAAAGACCACTAATATCCTTTTTTTTTAAGTCCATCACTGAAACATGCAAACACAGTCCAGTGCTGCACTGCTACAGATGCTAAGCAAAGATCAATGTTTGACTTCTCCAAAAGAACTTCACAAGGACTGTTGACAATAAAGAGATGGAAACAACCACTCATCAAAAGAGGCTCATTTAAAAAAAAAAAGAATAAAACATTTTAAACATGAATTTTAAATGCATTGTGAAAAAAGTAGGCGTACAAAATGTTATGTACAATGTGGTTTCATTTTTTTGTAGAAAAAAGCAAATGAACACGTGGCAATATAAATATTTATTTGAATAATCAAAAATATGTTTTTAAATACAAATGAACAAAGTTAGATAAATCCAAAGCCAAAGTTAGCAAATGAGGTTGGAGGGTGATTTTTATTTCCACTTTAATGTCTATCCAGATTTTTTAAAAACTTGGATATGGATTACTTCTATAAAAAGAAAAAAGTTAATTTGGAAAAGGCAACCTAACCAGTTTTTTCTGGCCCCTGTAATAGTCTTAAAACAAAAAATTTGTCCCTCACTGAATAAGACAGGGAGTCCTGGTGTGGCACTATAGCATAAGGACTAGACCACAAGGTTATTTGAACCACAATGTCGCCAGGTCAAACTCACCAACCACTTCTCAGAAACCCTAGACAGGGTCCCTATGTTAGAACCAACTGGACAGCACTTAGCAAAAGTAAGACAGGAAAGGGTATGGTTCAAGTAAATCATCTTTTATACCCCAAGTATGAGAAAAAGTTAAAAAACCCCTCAAAGTTAAAACTGCAAAAGCCAGAATCTGTGCAAGAGTAATACCTGTCAGAGAAGCAAAAAATGCAAGTATTACCCACTCAAGGTGATAGAAAAGTAGTATAAAAACTGCATCCTCTCAAAGACAGAAAACTAGTGAGACCTGGAAAACAAGGAAGTTGGTCAAGTTTCAAGTTTGGACTCTCACAGGTTCATTCAACTGTACAGGCAGACCATGGAGAGACTTCAGATTTCAGTTCCAGATCATTGTATCCAAGTGGGTATTGCAATAAAGTGAGTCACCAGACTTTTAGTTTAGCTATTCTGCCATCTATTAGGTGTGCAATAGTGTTATGAAACAGTTTGAAACATTGTGAGACTTGCCAAAATGTGACACAGAGACACAAAGTGTACATGTGCTCTTTGAAAAACAACACATAGTTTCTTCAAGCTTTCAATTTGTAAAAAATGTATCTCAAAGGGCAATAAAATGAGGTATGCCTACATATCTGCTGTGTGCTATTAAGTCAGTTCAGATTCATAGCGACTCTGTCTACACAAGGTTTCTGAGACTGTAAATCTTTACAGAGCAGAAAGCCTCTTCTTTCTACTGTAGAGCTGTTGGTGGATTCGAACCGCTGACCTTGAAGTTACCAGCCCAATGTGTAACCCACTATGCCACTAGGGCTGCTTGCCTAAATATCTACCAAAAAAAAAAAAGTTTCAATCTAATTCCCTATCCCCTCCCTGCCAAAAAAGGAGCTAAACTAACCAGCAGTTTCCATTCTGGAGTCTTCTAAAATTTGAATCTTCCAACACAGATTTGTTTGTTCTTCTGGCAGTCCATGTTACTTTTAATATTCCTGTCCAACACTATTATCTAAAATGCATCAATTCATCTATGGTCTTTCTTATTCATTGTCCAGTTTTTACTTGCATGTGAAGCTACCGAAAATGTCATAGAGATTTACAACCTTGGAAATACTAAACTGGATTGCTATGAGTCAAAACCGGCTTGATAGTACCTAGCAAGTCTAACAGTACTGGTGTGGCCTTGTGGGTTAATGCGCTGGACTGCAAAGTCAGTTTGAACCACAAGGTTAGCAGTTCAAGCTTACCAGTTACTCCTCAGAAACTCTATACAGGGTCACTATGGGTCAGAACTGACTCGATGCCATTTAACAACAATAATATGTGAATTCTTACAGAGTCTGGTGTGGCACTATGGGATAAAGCACTTTGCTTTTGATTAAACAACAACAAAAAAAACCCAAAACCAATTGTCAATAAGTCAATTCTAAGAAGAGGAAGGGCTGGTTGGTCCAAAGTGTGGTGAGACCTGAGGACACTTGAGCCCATGGACAAGGACTTAGCCACAGAGGGCTAGAGCTGAGAGTGAAGCATCCAGCTGATACGAAGTGAGGGGAGATGCACAAGAACACCCAAACTTGCAAACAGTACCCTTTTGACCTAGCCTTGGTGGCTCAATAATCAGAACTCGACTAGAGAAAGATTGAAGGGGGGGAGGTTTTTTTTGTTTTTGTTTTTTTTAATAAGGGAAACAAGGATAAATGGCTTCAATTTGATGAACCTGACCTATACTCAGAGCGGTAGTTACTCTAAACACCAACAGAGAGGGAAAGAGTCTTCACATCAAGTATCAATGCTATCCCCTCTGTACACAAGGCAGATAGAGACGGGCAACTTAGACAATGGCTACCTAAAATGAGGGGCAATAAAGGCACAAAGTGACTGACTTACAAAGTTTTAAGAGGGAGTTTAGTTTAAGAGTATGGGGGGAAAGAAAGAGTCCCCACTGAATAGCTGTCATCTTGTAGATGGGAATAAGATTTGTAAGATTCAACAGTGAATAATTGTTATCATGACTAATTGCGACTGTCACAATTGTAAAGGTAGAAGTTTTGTAACAAAAACAGGGGAGTGGTTAATTTTACAGTCCAGAAACAGAGGACCCTAGGATCATCGAGAGAGGCGCACAAGCAGAATGCAGGACCTTATCCAGAGAAGCAGCAGCACCAGAGATGGAGGCAGAGATGGGGGCATGGAAAGGAGGAGTGGCTGAGGACTCTAGACTCATGGACTAAGAAGAGAAGGACTAAGAGCTGGTGGCCAGGAGGCAGACTTGCAGAATGTGCCTTTTGGAGATGCAAATTATTATATATGCCTGAGTGGGTTGTTTGTTTGTTTGTTTTTAAAAAGCTAAAGTGGATAGAGAGAAATACTGTTAACTGATGACACATGGAGGGGATTATAATCATTGTAATGAAACAAGGTGTATGATTTGTTGAATGTAAAACTGATAATATGCCCTGTAAACTTTCACCAATCCACAATAAAAACCTTAAATAAAAAAATTTATAAGTCAATTCTAACTCATAGTGACCTTATATGACAAAGAACTGCCCCATAAGGTCCCCAAGATTATAAATCTGTAAGGAAGCTGACTGCCACATCAGCTTCCCTTGGAGGGGCTGGTGAGTTTGAAAGACTGGCCTGTGGTGAGCAGTCAAGCATTTACCCACTGCACCACCAGGATCCTTTGCTTTAGATTGTTGTTGTTGAGTGCTGTTGAGTCAGTTTCCTCTCATAGGGACCCAGTATAGGGTTTCTGAGGAGCAGTTGGTGAGTTTGCAGTCCAAACCCACCTGGCAGTCCAGCGCATTAGCCTGCAGCACCACACTAGAACTCCATTTTATACAGCATGGTGAAGTGAGAAGTGCTTTGAGGCCCGATCAAATTTTGGTTTTCAACCTGGACACTAATTGGCCTGAAGCAAGAAACCTGATCTCAATCTCCCTCTCTCTCTCTCTCTCAATCTCTCCAAGACTTCAGAGAAACCCTCAGAAGAGTTGGGAGGATTTGAGCACCCTGCAGGTCTACCACCTATGTGGCAAGCTAAGACTCACTTTCTTTTAAGAAATAAAAGTGCAACATCCTGCAAAGCCCGTATTTCACGCAGAGGAAAAGCCAAAGCTGGGAACCTACTTATCTGCTTCTCCGACCTCACCCGTGGCCACTGTCACCATCTCTCCATCCACTCCAGCTCCTCCTGCCTCCTTAAACAGGGCAAATGTGCCCCAGTCTAAAGGCCTTTGCACTTACCATCCACTCACTTTACCAGAGCCATTCTGGCCCAGGTATCCACTTAGCCAACAGCAACCAGAAAAAAAGCGCACATGAAAAAAAGCCCACCAGAAGCCCACACAGAAAAATCCCATAAATACTAATTAGATGAGAGTCCTGGTGGGGCGCTGCCGTATAAGAACTGGACCGGAAGATCGGTTTGAACTATAGGGTTGGTGGTTTCAACACACCAGCTTCTCCTTGGAAACCCTAGGCAGGGTTGCTATGAGTCAATACCGACTCCATGGCGTGGCGCTGTTCAAATTCAGCGGTTCAAACCCACCAGACGCTCCTCAGAAACTGTACTAAGAGTCGGAACCAACACTAGGGCACTAACAACAATAATAATTAGGGTTAGAATTAGAGTTAGCAATTGATCCTGTGTGCATTTTTCTCATATGCACTTATCACAGTGGCTTTTTCACCGAGTTCTAGAATGCTAGCAGCCAGTAGATGAGCCCCTCTTCACACCACAGAGCAGTTTCACGTACTTTTGATTAAACTAGAAAACAGGTTTGAGTAGACATTAGATGGAGTTTGGTAGTTTTTTTTTTTTCAAAAACTGAAAGGTTAGCTTGAAATGCCTAAAACCTGTTATTCCCACAAATTCTTCCAAAACACTGAGGAAGTTTGTTTTTTGTTTTTAAAAAAGAACTTTTTGTTGTTGTTAAAAGACTGGAAACCAACCCTTTGACGAAAGCATACAAAAACGGTGGGACGTCAGAACCCAGCCCAGTGGATGCATGGCGGCCCCCAACCTCCCGTCAGTGTCGCCTCCCACCAGGCTCGCTCCCTCACCGTCTCCCCGCGGGTGCCCTGGATGCCCCTCCACTGGGAGGGCACCGACACCACACCGAGGGTCTCGTCTTGCAATGGCCCGGGCCGTCCGGGCCCCTCGCCGCTCGCAGCTCCGCGAGTCGCCAGTGCTTCAGTCCCTGCGCTCACTGCAGGATAAAGCCGCCGGGGCCGCACGCAGGTTGTCTTGGAGACTGTACCGCCCACTCTCCAAGGCGCACGCCGACGTGACCCTCACGTCTCTCACGACTCTGGGAACGCAAGATCGGAGTTGAGGCTGGTGGCGCCATTTTTAAATTGGTCACAGTTGCCCTTTCATGGCCCTAGGGAAAGAGAGGAATGATTTTTTTCTTTGTTTTTTTGACTGGTTCCACAGCTTTATCAGCCTCAGATATTTTGTCCCCTAAAAGACTCGCTTGGGATGGGCTCAGATATTCTTTGGTAGAGACAAGCACGGGAGTAAGACGCTAGTGCCAGGCTCAAAGATGGCGCTGAGCAGCCAGGCGCAGAGACGAGGATGCAGGGCCCTGAGGGTACAAAACCAGCTGAAGTTCCTGATCTAATCCTAGCCTGGGTAACTGTTATTCGCTGCCTCCTGGAAGCCACGTCGTTTCCATCTGGTTCTGAATTTTTGTCTCAATAGAATGGTGATTAAAAATATATGTGAATTCCAAGTATGGTTAAATACCTGAAGCCTAAATGAAGTTGTATACAAAAAAAAAGGGAAATGTTTGTTAAATTGAAACTGAAGAATCAAATACTTTCCAATTATTGAGTACCTGTTGTGCATCAGGCAAAAAACCCAAACCTTTATGCATGCTTGTTTTATTAAATTCTCACAATGATGCCCTGAAGAAGCCAACTAATATTTATACACATTTCACATGTGTATATGTGCTGGTGGTCAGAAAAATAACAGTTCCCAGTCATCCACTACAGCTGAAGTCATACTTGCTTAAGACTAACCAGAAGGACTGCCTGACTTCAAAGCGCTATTCTTAGTCTCTCAGTAGGAATCCCAGCCAGGTCCTATGGGCCCAGTCCTCCTGTTCCTGAACTCTCATAGATGGAAACATGCCCATTTGCGGGCCCCTGTGCACAAGCTTACCACGGAGTTCTCCTCATTAGGACCCTGTTCCTGCCAAGGCCAAGAAAACAGATTAGATTAGCAACATGGAAAGAATGGAATGCAGCAGATATGTCTTTATAGAAAGTAGAACTAGACAAAATTCTCCTTGTGAGGCCCTCCTAACACTAGAAGAATTTGGAAACATTACCAAGGATTCAAAAAAAGAAGCTCAAGGCTGTGGAAGTGAAAGTTCTGGATTTGAATGTGTTATGTCTTTTTTAACAGGCTTGATACTTCTCTGGGCCTTGGTTACCTAGTTGAAAAATGACTGTAGGCTAGACCTGCTTTACCTGACCAAGAAAGGAGAGTACTTTGGGAAGAGAAGGGTGGTCTCTTACAAATCCATTGCTGTGTCCATCATGGAAGCAAACTGCCAGCACCTAAATTTCAATTACCAGCCCCTTTGATGGCAGCTGACCACCTTAACCTAATTCAAATTTCAGAGCAGGTGAAGATAAGACCAGAAAAGAGATGAATGAAATTAACATTTTGAGTGATATCTAGTAGCCCATGGACTGAATCATTTCACTGAAGTGTTGTTTTTAGGTAAAACTGAGTTGCTTCTGTCTCACAGACCCTGTGTACAACAGAAGGAAACTGCCCAGCCCTGCACCATCCTCCCAATTGTTATGCTTGAGCCCATTGCTGCAGCTGCTACTGTATCAATCCATCTACTTGAGGGGTCTTCCTCTTTTTTGCTGACCCTCCACTTTACCAAGCATGATGTTCTTCTCCAGGGACTGATCCCTTCTGATAACATGTACAAAATATGAGAGACAAAGTCTCATCATCCTGGCTTCTAAGACGTACTCTGGGTATACTTCTTTCAACATAGATTTGTTTGTTCTTCTGCAATCCATGGTACTTCTAACATTCTTCAACAACATAACTCAAACATATCAATTCTTCTACAGTCTTCCTTAATCATTGTCCAACTTTTCCATGCATATGAGGCAGTTGAAAATACAGAGAGTTGGGAGACTTTCAGCAAGATGGCAACTAAATAGACTCACTCCACAGAACCTCTACAACAAATATACAAGCAACCAAATGAAACAGACACAGATGAAAATTTGAGAACCTTGAACTTCAGGGGAAAGGTTAGAGAAGTGGATTGAGTCCTTGCTGGGAGGAGAAGCTGAGCAGGGACAGTAAGAGAGGAAGACTGACTGGTGAACAGCCTGCCAGACACAGCACTAGTAACTTGAGAACAGCTTTGGAAACAGAAGGAAACCTGGCAAAGGAGAGTCACAAGATGACAGGAAAGGTACAATTCCTTATTTTTGCTCCCACACTCTCTTGGTTACCAGAGGGGTGGCTAGTTCCCACCCTCATCCATCCCGAGCAGAGACCTAGCTCTCCAGCAGTCCTGAACCATGTGTTTGGGATCTGAGGCCTGCTGAACCAACCCCTTTGGTGCACCGCTTTGGTACCTGCATTTAGACAGACTCTGCCCCAGACCTACAGAACCTGCAGAGTCTCCAGACCGGCATTTAACCAGTCACCCTGCCCTCAGCTGCTCCATTATCCTAACAGATACTGAAACCAGCTCCTTCAAGGGCCTCCACGAACTACTTCTGGAGTACTGAGTGTATTGAGTGCCCTGAACATAGATAAATACAGAGGCCAATAGGAACTCCATCTAGGGCCAGGAACTCTGCTGTCGCATCACTTCCTCACTCACCTCATGAGCTCCTTGCCTTTCAGGAGCAACCCAGAATTTCTTCTTCTCCAGGTACAACAGCTGAACTGTTCTTTGTTTTGTTTTAGGGATCTGTTTGTTTTCTGTTTCATTGTGTTTTTTTCTTCTCCTTCTTCTTCTTTTTCTATTCCCTTGAATTTTATTCTTTCTATTGCTGCTTTAGTTTTTCCTTTCTGCTTCTCATTTCCTCTCTTCTTTTTCCCCTTTTGATCTTTTCAACTTCCCTCTCGCTGTTTTTTCTGGTTTTTTTTCCTTCCTCTTATTTCCTCTCCTGTAGCTCCACTTTTCTGTCCTTCTTTTCTCTTTTTATTTATTGTTAAGTGGTATTCTTTTTAATTTTCTCTCTTATTTTTCTCTTCTATAGCTCCATTTCTCTGTCCTTCTTTTGTCTTTATACTTATCTATTCTTTTTTTCTGATTGCCTTTTAGTAATTCTTTCTTCTCTTTGTTATTTTCTTTTTTCATTGTTGGTTCCTTGTTTGCATATTCTATTTTGTTTTCTTGTGTGTATATTGTTGTCTTGTTGTGAAGTGCTGTCAAGTCGATTCTGACCCATAGCGACCCTGTATAGGGTTTCCGAGGAGCAGCTGGTGAGCTTGAACCACCGACCTTACAGTTCAAATGGCTTTGCACTCTGGCGCATTAACCCACAGTGCCACACCAGGATTCCTGTGTGTATATGGGAGGAGTTTTATCTTTCTACTCAAAAGGAGATAACAACCATGTTCATATCATGCAACCCATCCACAACTGTACCCACTGTAGCTCCATCCACAGGGTAAGAACCAATACCAACTCCTATACTATGTGATCAATGATACACAGGAGCCAACACCAGCTAAACCATCTCTAAACTGTGGTGCAGGAACAGTGAACCAGAACAGTGTACACACTTGCATTCTCAAACTACACCGACAGGAGAGAGTTGATGAGAGCCTAAGAACAATTCAACATACAATCATTACTTAAATACAAATAAGACAACCCCACAATTCCCCAGAGACATCAGACAATTTTAGCTCACACACACAAAAGAGAAAATGGCTCAAACAAATGACCAAGATGCAGAACCAGAAAATGTTTCTGAGGAAGAAAATACAATGAAAATAATTTTAAAAGAATTCAAAAGAATGATACTTAGATATTTTCAAAGGATTGACAGAAAGATAATGGAAAGCAAAGAGAACATAGAAGAAACTTTAGAAGAATTCAAGAACACACAGAAAAAATAAATGCAAAATTTGAAACAATACAAAACCTGCAATTTGAAATCCAGAAGATTAAATCTAAGATTTCAGAAACAGACAACACAGTGAAAGGGCAATGGAGTAGATTCAAATCAATGGAAGCTTGAATTAGTGAATTTGAAGGTAAATCTTTCAATATTAATATGCTAGAAGAACAACAATAATAATAATTTTTTAAAAAGAATGGGAAAAAAAATCTGAAGAAAGCCTAAGAGTTATGTGGGACACCATGAAGAGGAACAACTTATGGAATTCTAGAACAGGAAGAGACAATAAAAAGCACAGAGAAAATTGTCAAAAAGTTAATGGAAGAAACCTTCCCTAATATCATGAAAGATGAGAAGATGTTAAATGAAACCCAAATAGGATAGATCCCAAAAAAGTATCACCAACACATATTATAATCAAATTTTCTAAAACCAAAGACAAGGAAAGAATCCTGAAAGCAGCTCGGGAAAACGAAAAGTTATCTACAAAGGAAAACCAATAAAACTAACTTCTGATTTATCAGCAGAAAGCATACAGGTAAGAAAGCAATGGGTGACATATAGAAAACTGAAAGAAAAAAGTGCCAACCAAGAATCATATACCCAGCAAAGCTGTCCCTCAAATATGACAGCGAAAATTAGGACATTTCCTAACAAATATGAACTAAAGGAATTTATAATGACCAGACCAACTTCACAACAAATTCTATAGGATATTCTTTGAACTGAGAACCAACAATAGGCAGACAACAGCCTGAGATTACAATACATGACAACAACACCCAGAACTCAATCCAGATATTGTTGTTAAGTGCGGTCGATTCAGTTACAACCCATAGCAACCCTGTATAGGGTTTCCAAGGAGCATACACCAATGACCTTGCTGTTCAGATGGCTTTGCAATCTGGTTCATTAACCCACAGCACCACACCAGGACTCCCAATCCAGATATAGAAGTATTTAAAGTAAAGCAAACCTACAAGACTGAAAATAGGGAACCAGATGTATCAATTTATAATGAAGTCAACTACAAAGTAAAAAGAGTGCATAGTATAGATACAGAACTTCCAATTGGCAAGGAAGTAAAATAGATTTCAGGATAAAACAGACTGCTTTAAATAGGGAAGAAATTTAATAAATAATAAGGTAACCTGTAATTTACACTGAAAATTAACACACCTGAACAGAAAGATTTAGTAAACATTAACACAGCAGAAAATAAAAT